CTTTCTCGGTCCCTTTAATTCCCGCAATCCAGAGCCGACCACAGCCTCGTCAACACGTACGCGAGTTCACGGCAGTGTTTTTGCCGAGCTCCGACCACGAGTGCTTCCATCAACGGTAAAGCCATGAATTTTTTGCCACATCCTATAGCTCACAAATCCTACCGTATCCTAGCCTCAATTCCCTCCCATTTTGCAGGTGCTGATGCTGATCAAAGAAGGAGGACGAGATGGTGCGCGCCAAGTCGACCCCTGTCCCCTCCACTTAATATCAACGCCAACCAATACAAAAAAAACTCGATTGTCAATGCTTACGACAAACTATTATTACGTCGATTCTGTGTGCATTTGTGATTACATATTACGCGGGGTTTTTTAATAAAGCGGTTTCATTTTGTTGTTCATTTTTAACGATTTTAAACAATTTTAGGCAAGCTAAAGGTTTTTAATTTTTTACTCAAATTTGTCGTATTTTCATTTCTTTTATTACATTACGACATCAAGAGGTAACGAAAAGTGAGGTGGTTGGGGGTCGGTGCTGAAATAGTTGCTGGAATGTACTGATGACGTAGCGCCGCGTAGACGTAATTTGATGTCGTCAAGGTCCGCCTCAAATCATGCGTCGGCTGAAATTCGATGACTAATAGATTGGGGCAAGGGATGCCCGGCGGGCAATCGGATCCGCTTATCCAACCAGACCGATCGCCTATTCGGATCGCCCTCAAATCACTAACCATCAACATTGCCAGTCCGTACGCGACGCATCGATTCTTTTTTTTAGGCGGCACGTTAAAAGTAGCATTTCGTTCTCATTTTTGTTTGTTGTAACTTTTTGTCCAAATGTCTAAATGCATAAAATTAAACCCTAGAAAAAATTCCTCAAAGCTCCGCATCGGCGCCCGAAATTCGAAAATGGGCGGATAAACGGCTTTTAACGTCCCTCGCGCCGCGCGCTATCCGAAATATTATCTTTTGCGTAAAAACAGCCCAATACTTATTTGAAAGTCTTTCCTTTTGTTTAGCAAATTAAATCCCCTTTTCAGATGAAGCCACTCACTTTTTGCATACTGCCACTGCTCCCCTTGGCCGCCGGCTTTCGGATAAAACGCGAATTTATGTACGTAAACGCCGATAACCCATCAGATGCCGATTGTTTTCAGGTTAGCGGTTTTGGAAAAACACCAGTAATTTCTTGCCTAAAGCTTCAAGCTCTAAGCATCTGTAAAAAAGTTGCGTAAAACTGACGAACTTAGGTTGAAGCCCAAATATTCAATTTTTGCCTGATTTTCTGGTTTTTAAACATTATTTTCTTGTTCCGCAGAATGAGTTAGATATCTTGGCATACTTTTTACAGTCCCTGAAGCTCAATAAAAAGTTGAAAAGTTGGAGCTTTCAAAATATTACCAGGCGGCTGGGGGTTTAACAAAGTTATTTGGCTCTAAAACGTACCAGTTAGGTTAAAACCATTAAAAAAATCTCCCTAATTCCAGCAATGCAACGAAAAATACGTGAGCGACTTTGGAGTACAGCTTCAACATCTCCACCGACGACTTTACGACTTTCCCACTCCATCCATTGGTGCGGAATCCGGAGAAATCTGACGAAAGAATAATGGGGATAGATTCTAGAGCACTCGTCCTATTTGTTGTTCTGCAAATTGGCCAGCGACAAGACGAAATGTTATATGGATCGGTGTAATGACAAGGTATTTCTCAAAAAATATACTTTTTAAAGGATTTAGACATCCGACGTGGTGTTCTCGCCGTCGAATTTCATCTGTGACTTCCGGCGGAAGTTGTTTTTGGAGGTAGCTGGGGGAGTTGATGCTCAAAAGTCTCTCAACTTTAGGCCCGTCCCTGCCTTTCCGAAGCGGAACCGATTACGTTCCTAAAATGCGACCAAGAATGCCATACGGCGCTGCACAATGAGAATTCAATACGAAATAATTCGCTGTTTAGGGTGGGGATTTTTCGAAGGTTTAGAAAATATCCTTATTGCCTCGATTCGTAGGCACATTTAAAGGGATGCCGACGGCATAGACAATCAGTTACGCGCGGAAAAGAAAATGTCTCTGCGCCTCTCCCCTGGGCGCGCTCTCTCCCCTGTTGGCTACTTGCCAATTTGTTGATGAGGGGGATCGACAACATGCCGTCGGCAGCCCTTTAAATGATTTTGGAAACGGGAAAGCCGCGGAGCGCGTCGCGTTTGCATCGCGCCTACCACCCAATTAGAGCGCTAAAAGGTGCCTAAAAGCCGAAAAAGTTCTTGAGATTCAGGTAGAAGAGGTGGATGGCTACGAAGATGCCCTATCGACACTCTGCACATTCCAAAGCTGCTACCTCGATTGTGCACTGCCGGTTATTACAGAGGTATCGGCTATACCACTACTAAAATCTCCTAAATTTTCAGGTTTGCAAGGCCGACGGGGCAAAGCTTGCGGCCGATTTGCTGACGACATTTGTGCACTGGCACGCAAACGATATCTACGAATGGTTGGTTAGATTTACGCTTAATTAGTCTATCAGTAGTTGTCGTTTTTGGGGTATTTAAGGTTAGATTAGGCACGCTATACCTGAAGGCTACACCTAGAGCGCAGTAGGTAATAGCGTGCAGAGGAGCGCCCCGTTGTCGTGGTGAGGTACGTTGCGCTACCGAGCCCGCTTGTATCCGTTGCGTTCGTAAACTTTCCAATTTTGACGGTTTTGTTAGCGTAACATACATTTAAAAGTGTACTTTAAAAGTCCTCACAAGCCTGGTAAGCAAGAAAATTTTTAAAATAAACTGTGCTAGCTGGCCATTCATCGCTAATAATTGAGTACGTTTTTAATAACAAAATTTAACTCCAGGCACGTCGTCTCGGATCGACTGCCGACGCTGCCGGCCAGCTGCTCCCGGCTGGCCGATCACAAACCGGAAAAAACGACTGAAATCCAGCAGGCCGTCAAGTTATAACAAAAATTATATGTGACTTAAATAAATACATAAAAACTGTAGAAAAAAAGGCCGAAAATCAATAGAAATACAATATAAAAATCTTTATTCCATGTGGCAGTCGACGGACAAGATAATAATACATAGAAGATGGATAAATAGATAGATGGCAGAGGGGATACGGTCCAGAATAAAGTTGATAATGAATAAATAAACAAATCGGAGGGCCTAGAATTTTCGGGGTAAGCTAGATAGGAAAATATACGGTTTGAAACGAAGAATTTTGGGTGTTTTCGGCATTGGCAACGTGCCAAATCTCCTAAAAACACAAAGTAAATGTGAAAGAACGGATACTGGGCGAAAAAGTGCGTCGGGGATCAAAGAAAGTGTGCGAAAAAATGCATAAAATACCCATCACAGGTTTTTAGGGGTTGGAAGGGTGTAGATTAGCAGTCAATTAGCCATAAGTTACGGTAGGTTGGTCAGATTATGAAAATGACATGGGAAAGTTGGTCTTGGAGTTTTGGATTTCATAATAGGGGAGGGGCTGTGAAAGAAAGTGGCATAAAATGCTCTACAAACTATATAAAATATCGTGTTTTGTGGAGGAAAAGAATATATAATGGGACTTTGCCTTCAACGGTCCTTTAAAGGGGGAATTCACCTCTAGATTTCAGCAAGAATTGGGAATATTATAGCCGTTTTAGCTTCCTAAATCGTGCAGTTCACCAAATATCACATCTTTTGCGTGGCCAATTGGTAATGCTCTCGCTTGCCGCCCCCACAACCGTGGTTCGATCCCCGCCCGGGTAAAATCTTTTGCTTTTTACCCAATACTAAAGGTGAATATCCCCTCATCTAATCCAAGGGCCCGGGCGTCTTCCGGCTGCCCAGAATCACCGGCACGACGACGTCGAAATAGTCGAGGTCGAGCTTGAAGAAGTAGCTGCACGTCACCAGGCCGTTCGCCTGAAATTTCGACATTTTCCGAGGCGAAGAAGCCAAGAAAAGCCAAACAAAATCAGGGTTTCCGCTTATCGGGTGGGTGCTTTCGAAAAAGTCTTGAATTCGGGGGTTTTCTTGCAGCACACAACAGCAAAAATAGGGGTGGGTGAAGATGAACCGGAAATTGGACAGTAACGGAATAGACTTGGATAGGATAGATGGGGGATTTTGTGCACTCTGAAAAATGCGGCGTTACCTTGTCGAGGACATCCGCTCTAATCGCCTAAAAAATCGGAGCTGCTGCTTTAGAGGAGGATTTTTCGTTTTAAACGATTTTAATTGCTTTTCTATTTCTTATAACGATAAAAATCCGTTTTAAAGGGGCTGGTAAGCCATAATCGACCATATTCCTAGACTAGACATTCGAAAGCTACGCAACACACCGAGATGATCCGGATTGGGGTAATTTGGAGTGCCGCGTAGCTGTCGAGACATAGCCAAAATAGGGGTCGATCTCAGACTTCCCGAACCCTTTCAAGGGCTCCACAAAGCATCGCTATGGATTTTCAAAAATTTTTGCCACGATCGCGACACGCAACGCAGGCATTCATCGCGCAATGTAAGCGCGAACGCGCGCGTCGTGTGTCCCGGGCTGCGGCAAAATGTAGTGAGAATCCATAGCCCCGCCTTGCCGGTCCCTTTAAAAGTACGCGCGACACCTCTGACCGACCTGTATACTCGTAGGGGGGAGGTCACTGGGAATTGTAAAGTCGATCACTTTGGTCTCGGGCCCTTTGCCCGGCGCCGCTTTGCAGGAGCCCTAAAAATGTTGAGTATTACGCACCGCGTCGACGCGCTTACGCGCCAGAAGGCCCTAAGCAACGCTTACGTGTGTATCGACAGCTATCGTAATCGATCGCCGGTCGGACAGATGGGTCTCGTAGCGATTCCGGGACACGAAGTCGATCTGCTGACACAGGGATATCAACACGCAATCCTTGTCCGCGTCCTGAAAGGCAAAATTTAATGGAAAATCTAGCTCTAAAGGGACCAGGAATGCAAAAGTTCCACTATTCCGTCAAATTTTAATCACCCAGAAATACCACTCACTCACCCGTTTCCGCCACCGTTTTGGCTTCGTCTTGTTGTCGAGGGTCAGCGTGACTCTCGTGGTTTCGCCTGAAAAAGGCATTTAAGGTATCTTCTACGTTTTATTAGCTTAACAATAAAGAATATTAAGTTCAACGAGCTTTAAAAAGCATAAAACCCTGAAAAACCCGGCGCACCTGGCAAAAGCCCGACTTCCTCCACTTGCATCGTTGCCGTCAGCATGCCCTTTTTTCCGCCCACAACAGCCCCGCAACTAAACAACCGATTACGTCATGAAAAAGGACTATAGAAATAGTCCTCTCGATGATAAATTCTTGAGCACCACCCCCACCTCCTCCTCCTCGGTGACCGACGTCGACTCGCGCAGATACGGCGCGTCCAGGTTGAGCAACGACCACACTTTGAATGTCTTTTCTGAAATTGAACTGTATTGTTTCTCGTTTTATTTTTACGCACCTGATATGAATTCACTGCCGCCGTCCTCGGGGAGATGGAGCACGGCCGAGCACGTGTACCGCACGCTGCCGTACCCCTCGCGCTCCACGGATGAGACGACGTCGAGGGGAAGCTGTAGTTCAGAATTTTGGCATTAGAGGAGCGCGGAAGTCTCAGGTTTTTTGATCAATCGAAAACTTGTCTGCGCATAGTTTTAGCCAATGTCGAACATAATAAGTTTACAAAATCTATACAAAAATCTAAATTTTATTTAAAAATCGATTTTTTCGTTGTAAAATGAAAAATGTCAGATTTTTCCAAATTTTGCAAGTTCAAAAAACGTTAAAATATAGTTAATTGTACTAAAAACTCTATAAAAACCTTTATATTGATATCGTAATAACAATAACAAACCTGCGCCTCAAAGTCAATCTTGTGCAACCCGTCGTGCAGCTCGTACTCGGGGTTGCAGTGCTCGAAAATCTCGACGGTGAGGTCGATCGGCTCATCGAGCACCGTCTCGCGGCTCTCGAACGAGAGCTCGCTGTTCTTGTTGTACCAACCCTGAATTATATTATTTTGTGAGGTCAAAACCTCTTCCTACCGTCTCGGCCAACCCGAACAGCCGTACGTGCAGCCCGGCCACCTTGACGGGACGCGCCGCGTGGATCGTGATCTCGCCCTGCAAATTTATTAAAGTTTTTACATCACCTTTTCACTTTCTGACATTAGCAAACTGCGTGAACGACGTTTGTAAATTCTTTGAAAGTTTTCTAGGTCAAATATCGGCCCGGAACTTAACAAAAAATGCTGGGAAAGCCATTCTCCTTTTCTAGATCGTTTTAAAAGGAAAATAACGGCGATGGAAGTTAAAAAAACGTCTTTTAAATACTGAAATAAAGCGTAGAAAGGCGCTAAGTATTGGCGCCAAAAATTTAAAAACCCAGTAAGGAACTACGGAAACCGGGAAAAATTGAGGTTCTTTTGCATTATCTGGGGCACCTAATTTTTTCATATTAGCTTAATCCTTAGTGTTTTAATAGCGTTTTTAATCAATTTTAACGAAATCTTCAGCGGAAAAAAGCAAAATAAAAAACTTCGAAATGTTGAAATTCGGCCATTATGGCCGAAAAACGCAGAGTTTTGGATCCTTTAGTCAAAATTGGGCTTTTTTTAAGTTCAGGATGAGCCAACAATTTAGCAAACAAGAAAAAATTAAGGAAAAAGTAGGAAAAAGCTGGGGAAGTAGGAAAAAAGTTGGGCGCTTCCCTATAAATACCCCCGCCCCCCGATACTGCAAAAGAGCTCTACCAAATCTATCTAATAAAACTATCGAACCTTTAAAACGGCTTACCTTGATGCGATCGCCCCCTACATAGGGCGTGTCGAGGTTTCTGTCGAGGACGAGGTCGAAGTGCTCGATCCGCATGCCAGTCTGCTCATGACCGCTGCTTCAACATCACCTGGAAAATGTCAATAAAGCTATAACGTCACCAAAAACCGCGGAATCCTAATCGAGCCGGCTTGGTTTCCGACTCCCAAAAAAGAAAAACCAGAAACCACCCGAAAAACCAACCCATGCACGCAGAAGTGGTCCCCTCGGTGGGTTGTGTCCTTCGCCCCTGGGGCTCCACCTGAAAAAAAGGCTTGAACACACAAAGGAAAGCAATGGAAAACGTGGGTTATTGAAAGGTCGAATTTCGACGTCGAGACGCCACTAAAAATCAACGAATTCAGGGTCCATTGTGCCCATAGCTCAACAATGGCCCCAGCGAGGTCAGGTGTCCAAAATTGGTCGGCTCTAAAAAAAGCAACAAAACGGATTTTTCGTGTTATCGAGGGGGGGCTACACGTAAAAACTTTACACATATTTCATGAGCAAACATTGAAAAAAATTGAGAAAAGGGAAAATATTTCAACCAAAAATCGCCGAAATTTGATCAAATCCTCCAAAGTTTAACATTTTTCGAACTTTGGACGTCATTTTTCCCCTTAAAATATAGCTCAAACGTGTCAAACACTCTATTAAAATACTTGCTATCACATGACTCCGAAGATCGAAAATTCCAGAACCCCCCCGATAATGCCAAAGAGCCGGAAAATACAAGAAGCTTTTGTAAAAAACGATAGGCAACTCTTTTCCACCTTGCAAACATTCCATCCAACTCGCAAAAAACCAGACGCCGGGAAACGTCGACAAGAATTTGATTTGCATTGGGGCATCATGGCAAATCTAGGGGCCAAAAATGACGGCATCTCGCAGGCGCCTCGCCGAATTGATGCCCTCATCATATTAGGGCCCGGGGCTGGGCCCTAAGAAAAAGGGCCCACGCTCCCCGAACCAGGGGCCCCACAAAACGATGTCAGATTACAGCCGAACACGAACATCCCAAACTGGCACCCAGCTCGGGATTGAGATTGATGAGATCGGGGGTTCGGTCAGCTTGTGGTTTATGGAACGTAGCGTTTTGTAAAGCTTTAAAAATCCTTTAATCGGTTAAAAAAACGCGCTTAACTTTTAAATAGGCATTAATTATAGCTTAAAAAAACTTAAAATAGGACGAAACGGCAAAATTGACGAAAATCTCGTGCTTTTCGCAATCTTCCAGCAAGAACGGATAGGCTTTTTTGGCGCGAGTTTTTAGTGATTCATAAAAAAACGCGATTTCCCAACACCCACAAAATGCCGAAAATCAGAATGCATAAAATTAAGGTGCCGAAATTTTATGATGTCGAAATGCCTGAAAGTCGAAATTTACATCAGCAAATCTCGCGCAAAAAAAAACGAAATCCCATACGAAAGATGTCGACATATTGATATTTCGGTACTACGATTTTCGAAATTATGATCGCAAATCGATTTCGACAGCTAAATCCTATTTCCGGTGGCAAAAAAGAATCCAAATCCACGCGGAATCCCTGCCATAATCCCGACAGCCAAATCCAGAAACGGCAAAAATACCGATAGGCAAAAGTACAACAATTTCGAATGTCGGTATTTTGGCGTTTTCCCAACCCGAGGAAAAGCTTCTAAAAAGTATCTCGGCCGATTGCCAGCCCCAATCAGCGGCTGTAACATCGCCAGTGCCCCGATGGTGGGCTATAAAAGCTGGCGGTAAAACGGGACGAATGACCCCCAATCGAGTAGCTGAAGCTCAAGATCCCAAAAAAACTCGTGATCCCCGTGAAGTACAGCTGTAATTAGGTGTGGCCCGGAATTGGCCCTCAAACCAATTAGCCACCAGGGTGAGCAGCAATTTGGCCGGGTTAAAAATACGTGCTGAGGATCTGGGGCAACTACAGTAGATAATTCTTGGCGGCAGCTTAATTGTCGAAAAATAATAATTTGGTTTTGGAGGAAAAATTAGTGGGGTAGTTTTCACTTTATTTCTAAAAAAATTGCCTAGTTTAAAATGGGAGAAGTATCTAAAAAACGTTAAAATTCAAATTTTGGCCTGAAAATTTATATTTTTGGTATTTTTTACTGGAAAAATATTCAGTTTTTACGTGTAGAAATAATAAACAACCGTTTAAAACTAAAAACACCAAAACACCCAAAAATTAGCTAAAAACTTCAAAAATTCAAATTTTGGTCGAAAAACCGCTTTTTTTAATATTACTTAAAAAAACGTGTGAAGTTTTTACGCTTAGCAATGGTAAAAAACAGCTTAGAAACACTGTCTCTATTTACATCAGAAAAACCGGATTGTGAAGCGAAAATTTGCTCACCCCCGATAACGCGAAATTGGAACTTGTTAAGACAACTGGAACAAGTTCAAAAATGCAATTATGGCAATGGGGGGCCTATGTGTGTGTGCCGAGGGGCAGAATAGAAACTCTACCCGAGCACCAGCATCCACCGGTTTGGTCTCCCCGTCATTCTCCTCCCATCCACTCCTCACACTCCGGGGATACAACCCTTTCCGGGCACGAAAAGCCCCTCTTCTCGGCTTCAGAATCCAGAAATAGGACCCCCTCAAGGAGTAGCCGATGCGGGGAAACCCCCCAGATTTGGAAGCATGAACCCTGACATCACACCTCCAAGATGACAACACCAAAGTTTACGGGGAGCAGCTTGAGTAGAGCTAAACAAATATACTAAATCAGAACCATAAATAACTCAAAAATGTTCTAAAACTAGAAGCTAAACTAAGTTCATCATATCTACAAAAAAATACAAAAATACTGCGAATGTAAAGAGAAAAACACTTGCGCGGTCGAACTTTGTAGCCAGATTTTCCTGCTTGACGTTAAAAGTTAAATTAGCAGAATACAAACCAAAACAACAACATTTTAAAATTAAATTAGTTGGACAAGGAATCGCCCCTCCGTCGACTAGGAATAGGGAATAGACAGATACGCGCGGCGCTAAAACACGCTACAAAAGTTGCAATCGAGAAGGTGAAATTAAGCCAACGGTTTTCGACGTGGTGCGTAGTTGTCTAGACCTAGTCGACGACAGGGTCGATTCTAACGCTCCCCGGACGTTTAAGAAAAACGTAATTCAACCAAAGGTTCTTTAGGATTCCCGGGGGGGGGGAAAGTATTCCCGGGGAAACCAATTTTTTTCCTGGTTTTCCCGGTTGACCTAGTAATCAAATATAAAGTGTTTTCGAATTGTTTTTAGTAAGTTTCAAGTATATTTAAAGCAGAATAACTTTCAGAAAAATTTAGAAAAATGTTTGAAAAAGTCGAAAATTTGGTCATTTTGGGTCTATTTTTCGACCTAATTTTTAATTTTTTACATTTTTTTGGTTAAAATGTGTGTAGTTTTTATGCACAGGAATAGTTAAAAACAGTTTAGAAACGCATCCGCAATTTATACAAAAATCTAGGCTTTCGCCGAAAAAAATTTGTTTTCCCCCGGGAATACTTTCCCCCCCCGGGAATCCTAAAGAACCCAACCAAAAAATGAAATTTTTATGACGAAAGGTGCTTTATAATCGGCAAAATGCTTTCAATCCGCCAAAAAGCAAAAAAAAGAAAAGCGGCGACAACCCCACCCGGGCAGGCGGTAAACCTTCCCACCCCAAACCTAGCAGATAAAGTATGTCTGAAGGACAAGGCAAAAGAAACGAGTGGCCCCGTTGTTTCACGAAGTTTCGGGGGACCTCCTATCCCCGTCTATCCCCCCCCCCATCACAGACTCGACCCCCACCGGGATACCCATTTCCGCCTAAATACCCTAAACATGCTGTCCAGCTCATTCGGCCCATCCTACCCCAATCTAAATTCGGAATCGCTCGCTTTGGCTGCTGCTGCTGGGCAAGCGGCCAAATTGGGGGCCCTACCCTGGGATTGGTATGGGGGAACAATGGTTTGAGGGGAATTGCCTAAACGAATCGCTATTTAGGTGGTAACGTAGTTTTATAATGTCGCGTAGCTCATTCGCTAGAGATTGAATTTCTGAATGAGCGCCAGCTTTCAAAAACTGCAGAACTATATCCTATTTGAAAGGCATATTTTGCGCATTTTTGGCAACCGCTTGACAAGGCGCGAAGACTTTTTCTACTATTCCGTGTTCGTTGAGTTTGTTCAGAATTTCAGGCGCTTTCGAAAATCTATCGAAGAATCTTTAGTACCTTAATGCGGTTCTCCGAACCAGCAAAATCAAAGGGTAAAAGTTTCTTCGGCTTTTATAACTTCGAAGGCTATTTAAAAACAGAAAACACATGAAAATCC